TCGCGGGGGCGAGCCGTCGCGTACGTGTGCATACTCATACAACAAGGGGGAGGAAAACAATCGATGATGATTGGGCTCATTAAAACCCAACAATTTTTCATCAAAATCCACAAATTGAGATGATTAATCATTCTGCGACAGCGTCTACTGTAAGCGGTTATTAATCCCAATTAGGCGGATAATCAATGAGACAATAAAGTGAACGTGAACCCGATCTAGTGAGAGTTGCTAACTTCGGTGGGCAAGTAGTTTCACATCTTCAGGTTGGATAAACACTCAGTGAACTAGGTAGTTCGCTTATTGCAGTAAGCACACGTGTAGTCGGTTCAGTAGACCGATGAGCAAGCAGGTGCTGGAAACCTAGGCCGACCGACAAACGGTTCAAGTGTCACCTGACATCTGAATGCGGTCAAGCAGGCACTCACACAATCAATGAATCAATCAGCGTGGACAGTCTATAACTATACTAACATCTGATTGACTGGAGTCGTGTGAGATGCGTGCACGTCTAGAAACAGGCAGCATCGGCCAATCAATCACTCAGTCAAGCAGTCGGGCCAAACGTATCGGTCCACAATGAGTCACAGCGGTATCCCGAACCTATTCACCGATCGAGGCCACAGCGATGATCAGACAACGCCGTAATGGGAGTCTGTGTTTTGTTCAAATATGCGTCGATCACCTGGGGAATTTAATAGTGTTCATGAACTTTGAATGTGATAGATTTGTGTATAACGGGCGACTAACAACATTGAACAGTCGCATTTTTATGGCAAATGCTGGGTGCAAACGCGCTAAGTCTATATTTCAAAAAAAATCGATAACATGTATTGTGGAAATTGTGTGTCCCTATTATGCTGCTCATCCACTGCTGCATGTACGCGAAAAGTTAGACTCGAGATATGTGTGTGTCTCTCTCTCAAGCCAACTGTGACCAACCCGCAACATTCACATGGCTGTTCAGAACTGTATTTAACTCAGCGTCTTGCCCAATCTACTAAACAGAACGAAGGTATGTGCTCGCCTGTCTCGAAACAAGTACGTGCTTCGAGCCTAATTCTTGGCACGCATTTCAGTTCACTGCACATATGTGGTAGTCTCGAGTAGCTCAATTAGACCACATAATTATATCAATACAAATGATCGAATTCACAGTCTATGAACAAGTACATTTTCGGAAAGGGTGCACATACTTGAGTGCGATGGAGATGTTTGTGATAACCAACAAGGAGCACTGGACAGCTGTTTCGTCCTGTTTCGGACTCGTCAGCAGTGCGTGCTTTTTGTGTCCCTGCCAGGACTCGAACCACGAACATTCGGGCTGGGACTTCAAACCCTTAACCTTGAGCTACACAGTCGACGGTTATCACCTTGTGCGAATGGCTCAATCAATTTAGAATACCAAGCTTGGATTAGCCCATTCGATTGTTCAGAGGCACCAGACACTCTTGATGGTATTGGTGTGGGTTTCACTCCCTGGGAAATCGTTNTGGGAAATCGTTAATTCCCCACGAGGTAATGCATTCAAATGCAATGGAAATGTTTGTGGTAGTCAACCAAGAGTACTGGACAGCTGTTTCGTCCTGTTTCGGACTCGTCAGTTGTCCAGTGCTCATTGTTGGTTATGAAAAACATTTTCATCGCATTTGAATGCATTACCTCGTGGGGCTAATCCAAGCTTGATATTCTAAAAAGCACACGTTTGAACCGAGAATTCATCATGAGGTTACGTAATTGGAATAGCCCTCCATCATGTTATTCTGAACTCCGCCAAGTTAGGTATTCTCTTATGGATGGTTTGATTGTTTAGCATGTGAGGGGTACAAATTACCCGAATTATCTGTACTGTTAACAGAGAAACAGAGTCCAATCGAAAAGCACCATAGTGTCAGAGGAATATGATATGACGGTTGGGGGACAAACGCAATCAGATGCGTGTGTGCAAGTTAGACGGATGAAATGTAGCATAAGGTTTGCCTGACAGACAGACAGACAAACAGACAGACGGACAGACAGACAGATAGACAGACAGACAGTGAAACCATTTCGTCCCAACAATTAGCAATAAAGGTGAGCGTAGATGTGGGTGCAGAGAAAGAACTCGAATACAAAAAGTAGAACACTCAGTGATGTAACCCCCGCTCTGGCACCGAAGGTGCCAAAACCGGGTGGTAGGTAGTTTTGCTGTCGTTCGGTTCCAGACCACGCCTGACCTGGCGGGGACTTATGTGGTTCGCCCCCACTCCAAATCCCGCGGGACTGACGTTACCGGTTTCCATTATTGAACAGTGACCACGGGGTCCATCTTCCGTCTGCTATTCATCACACTAAAAGTGCGTAATAAGAAATGTGTTCTGGCGAAGCTGATTGTTCCTGAAACTAAATTTGCTGTACCAAATGTGTCGGTAGGATACACAAAGTTTGAGTGAGAGTGAACCGAAGATGCAGATCTCCCAATATGCATTCAGAAACTAATTTTCATCTTCAACGCCCATCGATTTGGAACGGCATAAATCACATGGGCAACATATTCTCAAAACCCATACCGTGCTGATACCAGAGGGAGAGTAATGAATACATCACAATCTATCAAATTAATCACAATTTTGCGAAATTTCAATTTACGACTGCTGGTTCGCAATTAAAAGAGAATTTTATCCGAAAAAAATCCGTTTAGCAGTCTAGAATAATCGATTGAGAATTGTCAGTGAGACGATTTAAATGTGTAATGATGATGAATGCGAGGGAACGAGTTCTTGTGGTCTTGTGGACAGGAAGTTCGTGTATGCTGAAAACGGGACGGAGGGGGGCGGGAGTTGTGAGTTCGGAGTGTGAATTAGCATTCTTACGTGACTTCAAATTCGCCAAACAACAATTGGCATAATTAACCTTGTCTTAGAAGCTCATTCGGTGGACTCCGGTGAATTCTATGGAAAACCTGTCAGGGTAGTCAGCTTACATGCTAACTGGTGGTGCCATATGCCTTTGTGAGTTGGATGGGTAATTTCGAATGTGAAAAGATCAGTGTTATCGGTTTGGCCTTGTAGCTCAGCTGGTGGAGCTTGTGCTGTACAAAAGCGTAGGCGGCGTCCATCCATGGGTTCGAATCCCACCGAGGCTACTGAACTTTTCACAATCCCAACACAAAACAGTTGGTCAACACCTCCTTCTCGTTACTGTGAAGGGTGTCGAGTGAAATTTTATGGTCAACACACACACACACACACACACTTTAACGCATTCTGACCGGTTGAGAAGTAACAACAAGAACGCCACCTAAGTCTGTTTGTTGCCATGACTTTCAGCAGAACCTTTTGAGCCTAAACTTAGAAGATGGGAGACGCCTATGTGCTTTTCTTCATGCATCGTCTAGAAAATTGATTATATATGTATATATTCAACACCAATCTTTACAGATACTGCACCGAAATAACCATGGGTTCGCGAAAAATATGGGAACAAAAGCGGGAAAACAGTCAACTAGGGAATAACAAACTTTTTGTCTGAATATTGCATAGCATTTTGTGATTTTTTTCGTTTTTTGTTTAGTTTTGGATCGTACACAGCAAAAGATTACTTTACGCCACTGAATTCGGTTCTATGTCATGTCCTGCAGTGTCTTCAGCCAAAGACAGCCGTTATGCAAGTCCCGAAACTTGAAAATTAATTTTGCCTCGTACACTTCCGCTTTGTGTGTTGCAAAGAGAAATATATCAGTTTTTTCAGAAACTGGGCCTTAGCGTAGAACAACAATATCTCCTGTTCAATATCTGGCAGATAAAGGAGGATAGGCTCGAATTAGTTAGATTAAAATCAAACCCGTTTGTCCATTCCAACACGGCCCAATTTCTTGTCGCCGCATGGTAAGGTGCATATATGAAACTCTTGGATTATTTTATGCCTGTATTGTATTACTTGGATACTGACAGAGCACAAAACTTCAAATGAAACAATAAATGAGATTAGGTTTCAAAGTTGGTTTTCCAAGTTGTTCTTAGGTCGACTGATCGTGATTAGGCTCAGTTGAGATAACTTGTATAAAAAAGAAGGGATACTAAACTCACCTGCAGGATACTCACCACGGTGGAAGCTGTCACGTAGTTCAGCAAGAACGACGGTATCAAAATAACGGGGAAGCTTTGAGAAATGGGCGGTCTCTGAAAATCGAAAGTGGGAAAAGTAATCCAGTAGAGAGACTAACAGGAAAAATGTTTCACTGTGCCGGCGGAACAAAAACAGACAAACCAAATCAAATGACCTCAGTATTTGCACATGTGCATTCGTGGGCCGGAAGAATGAATGCTCGGTTGATCCTCGTAGCTCACAACTGAAGTGTTAGTGAAAGAGACAGTCAGTTTTTTCAGGAGATTATTATCCTACAGTGAAAATTGGACAGTTTAAGTGGTGTAAGATGCAGCACCGGATTGCATTTTGAAAGCCCATGCTCACGGAACAAACAGATCATGTGATGAGAAGGTCATGTGTATGACTCATCAGGGATTCAACGAGGGAACGGTGTGGATTTTGATCGATGTCATGTCTGCATTAGCAAACCCAATCGCCACATTCGAATTCATAATTTGGCGGTGAATTTATTCGTGCACAGAGTAGACGATAAAGTGAGAATAGAACAGCTATTTCGACCTGATTGGACTTGATCATACCACATTATGATGATAGTGTACATAAAGCCAATCACAACATCAAAGCCACCAGTTAGTTTCACATTTTTTCTTAGACCATTCTAAAACAGGCACAGAGCACAATAGAACACCTCGTTTGATTTACCATGATTTTACCAAAATTGGGCGATAAATCACGGAAACCAATCATATATATTCTATGGTGGCCACGACCATTGAAACTATCTCCCTGGTAACTTTGATGAGCACATATCAAGATACAATTCAACCCACAACTACGTCTATGGGATAAGCAATAATGCCGAGGTTTTGCGCACCAGCTTCCACACACTTCGTGTGGGTTACCCGACTGTCAAGTCATTCATGATCAATCACAAATTGGCGTATAACGCAAACGCCACTGCATTGAACCGATGACTGTGTGTGTCTTCCCTTCCGGACAATTGTCAGACAATCTGTGATAGCCAGTTACAAGCAAATTCAATTTTACTCAAAGTAATTTCATTTGGTTTCGTGGTAAGCTCAGAAGTAAAACTTATTTGATGCCAGGGGAGTATATTTGCACAAAATAAAGAATATGTCGATTGATTACAACAATGTGATCTGGTGACAGCCATGGGCATTCACCTACTGGCGTGCCTCGTTGACTACTTCGAAAACAGAACTCAGCCTATTCCGCTGGGTACGAAAACGTCCCAGCCGTTCGTGAACGATTCGAGAGAGCTCCAGAGAGCAGTACTGTCTCTATTCTTGTTTTCCACCTGTCAGTGAGTTCATCAATAAAAGTTATTTAAACACTGAGGAAGTAGTCTTTTTCCAGACCATTTCTGTGCCTAAGGACCTTCTAAATTTCTCGAACAATCTATTGCATATCCACGAATTTTCCTTTTCGTCCTGAACTGTCTCTCAATTTACCCAAATGCTTCGAATTCACTTTCTCCCTCTCTCTCTCGATCTGTTTATCCTCGTGATCCTTCGATCATAAACACAGATCCCCTAACCATAGTAGATTTTGTGAAGTATTAAGGAGTTACAATTGACACAAACTTAAAGTGGACATCACATAGTTACAACTCTGTACAGAAACTTCACGGATTGTCTTTCCAACTACGAAAACTTGGACAGTTCAACCCCAAACAAAAAAATGATTTCGCTTTTTCTCTATCAATCTGTTTTCCCCGTTCTTCTTTATTGTTCCCCGGTGGGTTTTTTCCCCCTGGTTCATTCAAGAAAGACTTCAAAGTTCTTCGCCGAGGTCTGTCGATCATCAACAGGAACTTCCCGATGCATTTGATCGCGCCAATTCCTCTTGGCCGATGTGCCATATTCAGCCCTCACAGATAGGTTCCCAACCCTCTCTGCCAATCATGAACCCGTGCCGAAATGAACTCTGTTCAACGCTCCCTCCTCCTTGGTAAACTGGAATCATTTAGCTGTCCGAAGCACCTACTGGCATGGATCGCTGACTACTTCACAAACAGAACTCAGCATACTCGGCTGGGTGGACAAACGTTTAAACCCCTGGTGGACAATTCGGGAGTGCTGCTGGGAGCCCTACTATCTCCGTTCCTGTTTTCCACCTATATCAGTGATCTGTCTGCGAGTTCTCCAGCCCAATTATTTTGATAAGCTGAGGACGTAGCCCTCTGGCAAGCCATTTGTGTGCCTAAGGATCTTCTAAATTTCTCGAACAATCTGTCGCATATCCACGAATTTCCCTTTTCGTTCTGAACTGTCTCTGTATTGATCCAGGATGAACTTTCTCCTCCGCTTGATCTAGTTATCCCCGTGAACCCTCGGTCATAATCACCGTTACTATAACTAGAGTGGATTCCGTGAAATATTTAGGAGTAACCAGTGACACCCACACCCACAATTAAATTGATCATATCAGATTTACAACGGCTTATTTGAAATTCGTGGATTATCTTTTCTACTTTGAAAACGTAGGCAGTTCAACGCAGTGTAGAAATCATTTTGCTTTTTTTGTTTATCAACGTGTTTTTTCCTATTCTTTAAAACTCTTTATCGAGGTTTGTCGATCATCAGTCGTGTGTTTTTCATACCCGTTAATGATCTGTATACAGTTCATGTGTGTACTTCAGTTGTCCGCGTGTGAAACATTTTCACAGAAAATCCCCTCTGATACAACACACACAGCCTTTAAATGACGATTCATCCAATTGCCGCTCGCATTCACCCACGCATTCTACAGAAAGTCTTACAGAAAGTCTCCAGTTCCCTATCTCACCAGAATCGTTGTAAAACGTCCGACTGTTTCTTCTGAATCTCTCAATAACCTTGAAGATTAACTACTTTAGTCGTATAATTTTCTTCTTTCGGTCAGATGATGTGTCAATTTGGACTGAAATGCGGATATCTGTTCCCGCAAAAGTCTATAGAAATACGTGAGTGGATTGTGAAGCAGTCTGAAGTCACTCGCACAGTACAGTAAGGAAGTAAACTGAAACATACGAGGGCTGAGCAACCAGATTCCGGACCAGCAGTACACGACGAGTACGTGGAGGTGACCCGGGATGACCCGGGGGCAAGGAAAACGTGAACTGTAATCTCGTATTGTGAATCTATTGTTCAGTGAATGCAACTCACACACACACACAGAACCAAATATCACAACACAGCCGAGAGCACAGCTCACAAGTCATACGAAGGTCGTTTACAAGTTGTCTTTGGTGATGACGTGCCTTCAAGAAGCACACTGTGTTGGAGTGATTTGCGGAATTCAAGTGTGGCACTTGCATGGGGTCCGATATGAATCACCAACACCAGCAGCTACATACAGCGATTCACGAGAAGAAAAACAAATAAAAAATAATTAAAATGTTTAATAGTTTGTAACATAATTGGTCCGCACTTTGCATGTGAGTGACCAGTAGTCGTTATAAATCAACTATCATCTGTTCGGGTGCCACATGATGTTTCGCTTCTACATATGGGGACCTTGGTAATTGTTCAAATTTCTTTTGAGCACACAAAAAAGGAAGAAGGAGGGAGAGTTTGTGCAGACGGATGTTGACTACCTCCGCTGTGATTAGAATACGGAAACGTGTGTGTCTCTACCGTCGGCAAATCAAGTTTTCCGAATACCTTCTCAAGATACCCGGGTATTCCGTTTCACCTGTTCACCGAGCTTGGCAACTTGTTTGCGAACGTTTCATCACCAGTCGCGAGTGACATCATCAGTGCTTGTGGCAGTGGCAGTGTTGTGCCTGACCCGTTCGTTCATAAATGTGGTTTTTTTCGACCGACTAGTTTTGTCCCTTGTTTTCACTCTGTTCTACTACATTTGCCGTTGAACTGATGCGAGGGCGTGAGGGTGGAAGGGAACGGGACGGGACGAGGGGGGGGGGGGGGGGGGNGCGTCGGTCCGTTCTCTGGTATCATTTCTAGCTATCTTTTTGATTTAATCGGCGCTGCCAAGCGCTTTGTACCGCTCAAAACGTTCTAGCGATATTTGGTTGATCACCATACAGCAACAAAAATACTACTGCATCAGGGTTTGAAACGCCAACAAGTTCAGTTTCCAGTTTCCTAATTGATATTTCAATTGTGTTCCGCCTGCTCAACCCAGGAACCAGTATGAATCGCAGCACGTTTGGGAGAACCATCTGACACCAATAAACAACGACACCACCAATCGGTAAATAACAATGATTGGTAGTGAATACACTAACCAGATCAAGGTGTTCCGCCTACTGTACACACACACACACACACACGAGCGAGCGCGCGCGCGCGCTTCAAACGGCACCAGTTGATCGCACGTCCAAGTCAGTGTACAGAAATTGGCAAGTCATCTCTGTCGGACTAGGCTAACAATTCGCGCCAATCCCAACCGAATCGGTGATTATGTGATAATGATGAATGACGGAGTGAAGTTTAGTGTTAATCCAGGCCCCGCTCCCCTGGGTAGAACTCTCGCAATTCCTTTGGTTCGCCCACTTGTAACCACCAAGGATTCAGATTTTCACACTACACAACGCATGTTCACGATCAGAACCGGGGTTTATGCTACAATCCCTTCCATTTCTCATCAAATGATGATAGAAAACTATCCGTGTTTCTGTGTAGTCCAATCCTAGATCGTTTGATGGCGATTGAGATCCCTGCTAAACAGTAATCCGCTGCTCTCAGGTGCTGCATCGAACTATCGACAGACAAAAAACAGTTTACTTGACTAGCTAGGCACGAGTACGTCTACCTTTTCATGGCACCAGTGTTGTGTGCGTGTAGGTGTGTGCGTGTTGTATGGTGAAACCGATTCCCACTCCAATGCATATTTACCCCCATGAACGGCTGACATGAAAAATTATAAAACAAAAACAAAAACGGACCAGTACTTTCGACCAGGACCAAGAGTAAAACTGAATCCAAACTGATGTGATTTTCAGAGTCTGAATAGGGGCAAGAGTTCCTCCTTATTCCGAGGTATAGTTTATTTTTCGGTCCCCTAGTCAGAAAAATGGATAGTCAAGTAGATTCAGCGACCGCTGTCCCTTCCTACTCCTCCTACTCGCATCTCCGAGTGTCCAGGCTTTGATCACGCGTTGATTGCGCACTGAAATGCAATTCGGGACGATTGCGTGATTGCAACTTATTAGGGCACAGGAATAGGGCAAACCAACCGGACCACCCTGATTGTGAGAACACAATGCAATCGGATGTTTGCACGTATCCAGGGCACATGGGACTGGATTTCTGTCCCGAGGGGTTACACAGTTGAAAGCTTCTTCCCCGGTCTGCTAGTTTTACACACTCATTCCAATGGTCCGGATAATTTTGCAACATGCCGATGAGGAAGCTTCTGAATATTAAAGTTTTAAAATAACCAGGCTTTGCTTTTTATGCACTATGAATTTTGTGATAGTTCAAGCAATCCCACCGCGATCAACCCTTAAAAAAAGGAATGCTTTCCATAAAATGAACAAAACTGATTTGAATAGACAAATGTTATTTTGGGGGTTACTACTGTCTTGGTTGTTCAAACGTTTTACAAACAACAAGAAGAGGAAACGATATAATCAATTTTTGTGTGTTGCTACATTTATCCTGCGTTTGTGTTTGCGGTATGAGCTAAATTTTCACCGATAAAAAGTTTCTTTGATAATCTCGTTTAATGAGTGACCCTCACCACTGCATAGAAGTATCCGGTCTATCGGAATTGGTGCGTACAAAATAGAGTTTCATGTGTTCAGATGGAAACTTTATGAAATAGCTACCCACTCGACCGCCGGGCAGCTGATCGCACTGCACGGATGAGACCCAACCAGGTCAAAGCAGCTGTCCAGTAGTACGTCTTAGCTTTTCAATTCACGTTTCTTTTGCTCTATACACGTCGAATTACCCGTTTGCAATTGAACCAAATCCTCCGTTATTCACTTGAAATGAGTAGTCAGGCTGTGCATGCTTCCAACCGAGTCATTACCCCAGATGCTAGTGCTGAGATGAGCGAGATCTGTGGCCCGCAACACGCTCGCAAATATGGGTGGTGCTGTTTATGGTGTAAATAGAAAATTAAAAAGCGGTCTGATCACCTACCCGGCGGGCCGAGTGGATAACACGCTTGCGTTCTGCCTATGAGATCCAGGGTTCGATCTACAGTTGGGTTGATGGATTCACACTGCTGCTGATCAGGCCCAACCAGGTCGAAACAGCTGCGGTACAATACTCT